TATATATATATATAATAATGCGCTATTTATACGCTATCTATAAAAAAAATTTTTGCACTCATTTTGTTTATCTTGGGAGCTTGCTGCCGTAAAGTATTCAACATCATTCTTTTCGGTTTTTAGTGTTTGCCGGCAATTTGAAAGTAACAATGCCTTTTAGAACATATTTCTGTTTCATGAATAGTAGTTTTACAGTCAGAGTATTTATTTTTGCAATTTTAAACGACATAGGGCTAAATATCTGTTCGCTCCAAGAGGAAAGTGCCTTAAGAGTTGCAGGGCAAAAATTAAGACTATGTGCATATGATAGTGCATAAATCCTGTGTATTTAATTTTCCAAATCGATTGTTTTCAACGGATGGGGAGCCTATCTGACTGTTTAGCTCAGCTTCTCTACAAATTTTTTTTTAATTAAACGGAATGAGCACAAAAATTTTTTTGCAGAATATAGACAGCGCATAAATAGTACATTATTATATAATTTTTTCATAAAGAAATTTTTTTTAAGATTTGGATAAATGGAGAAGGAGCAGATAGGAAGACGTAACTAGTTATTACTTCAAGTAACAAGTAATTGTAACTTGTTACTTTTAAAAAGTAACTTTTCATTTCTTGGTGAAATTGTACTGATAGGTCTTTTCATTTTGTTTGCACCTTAAAGTATTTAGAATTATAGCATTTTTCAATTTTTTCGAATTTATTAAGAAAATAATTTTATTTTTCTTCAAATTATTTTATGAACTACAAATCAAAATTTCTTATTAAAACCTTCACTCAATTGATTCCCTTATCACTTTCATTGTACCATATATAAACTTTTCTTTACTTATATCTGTGTTTATTTTGTTTCTAAATATAAAAAAATTATTTAACAAAATTAACATGACTTAATAATCGCATTAAAAAAAATATACTTTCAAATAACCTTTTTTAACTTTCATTAATATCGCGAAAGAATATACAACAATATACACATTTAGTACTAATATTTTATACTATAATATATTGTATATACGAAACAGTTCAAATTGAACTATTATATTATATTTGTGCAAAGTTTAATTTGCCAAAAGCTTAAAAAGTTATAATTAAAAATATATTTAGGAAATACTGCCATTTTGACAAATAGATTTAGCTGTACGTACAAATAAAGAAATCTTTTTCTAACTCCATCATTAATGAGAGATTACATAACATAATTATCCAGATCATAATATATAAAATGGAAGATTATATTCAGCAAGCAAAATCAGAAGAAAGGAACACCTTTCAACGATATATCAATAAATGCAAATTAGTTTACGGTACGACAATGTGTTTCATAACCGTGACAGCTATAATAGTGTCGTTCGGACCATTATTCTTAGCTCAACCCTTTCCAATCGAAGTTGAGTATCCATTCAATGTGAACAAACAACCACTGAGAACTATTATTTACTTGCATCATATGATGATTATATACCAAAGTCGTGTCCAAGTATGTAGCAACGTCTTCGTAGCTCTTCTGCTTTGGTTCACAGCAGCAAGATTCGAGATTCTATCCCATAAATTTCAGAAAATTACAAGCATCTCAGAATTTACAATCTGTATACAGTTGCATCAACGGCTATTACGGTAATAAATTATATGTAAATATAATATATGTAATGCAATGGCACATAATAATCTCTTTAAAAATAATTATATACTTGTATGTACAATACAAATAAGCAAAGAAGACTATATATAGACTTTATTTGATCAAAGCGAGTCTAGATGTCTAATTTTTTATGTTTTTTTACAAAGAATTTCACAATTTCTAATTCAAGCAAACTATGAACATATCAGTTTTAAAACACGGTCTTGAAACTCGGGATATCAACTATTGCTTGCTATCCAGTCTGAAACTCAATATTATATTGTCCGAACCGATGATCTACTGGCCTAAAGACATTAAGGAAATTCCCGATTTAATAGACTTCTACTTATCAAAGGGAATTGCGGATTCGCTTACTGACTGTTTTTTTTTAGTTTTGACCTCTCATAGGATCATTCTCCGGTTATAATTACATTCAACAGAAAAATTATGAATGTAGATAAATCATGTAAACTTCATAATCATAGAAACTAAAATTCTTTTAGACAACTAATGTCTTCCTTTCTAAACAAAACTATCTTTGAAAACCAATAATGACATTATAGAAGCTGATCATCTCAATAGCTGCGTACAACAATCAGCTTGGATTTCTACAAATGACATAATATCTGTATACTCTCAGACAATAAGAGAAATAATAGCAAAAAAAAGAAAAACAAAAAAAACTAAAACTGGATTACGTTATATCATAAATTAAATTGATACATAATTTAATATTACTGATATCAATTATTAGGCACTAATAATGTCTGCCTTAACCAAATATGGTCTTCTTCGCTTAATTGAACATCTCTCGACTGATTTTCATTCTTCTAAATATTAATTATATTAATTATATAAATAAATATTAATTATATAAATATTTATTATATTTGTGTAGCTCATTTTTTGGCTGAAATTTTTAGCTGATATTATACAACCAAAACATCTTTAAACTTGTGTATTCATATTATTTTTTATTAACTAGTGCATAATTATAATTAATTCTATAATAGAATATACAACAGTAAAATTAATAAAAAATTGATAGTAATTAACGGCTAATTACAGATATGCAAAAGATGTTACTATGACAATTCGATATGTAGCGTTGTCAACGATAGGATTCAGTACCATAGGAATAATATTTAGCGGTTTGACTTTTTTGAGCGTGAGTCATATGTATTTCATCTTTTCATTGCATATAGCTGTTCATTGCATTAGTTACGTAATTTATGTGTGAATATCTTAATTAAAAATAGTAGAAACATGTGAGACGATCTTCGCCTGCAAATTGATTGCCTTTAATACCGTTTGCCAATAGTTCGTTTGCGCATAAAAATTATTGCCTACAGCTCGATTACATACTCTGTCTTATATGCTCTATCTTAAAAACACAAATTATGTTTTAAAATACAAAATTTTCTATTTAAAAACGATTGAATTCTCTTTTAAAACAAATTCTCTACTTTATAGCAAATTATTTTTTTACTTAATTTTATATTTGTGCGCAAAAACGTGCAATCGAACTGTAAGCAATAATTTTAATGCGCAAACAAATTGTCGGCAAAAATAATGTAGGCAAAGGATGTTGTAGACAATCAATTTGGAAGCAAAAGAAACCATCTTGTTCGTCGTACAAACGCATTTAATATTTTATGTAATTAGTATTATGAAAATTAAATAAATAGACACGACTTAGACATTACATAATTTACTATAAAAAAATTAAAATTATTTTATTAATTTAGAATTGTAGATATTGTGACCAATTTTTTTCTTCCTATCATAAATACAATCTAAATTTTGTATTACTTATATTAAAACATTATCTTGCATAGCAACAACCATTAACTATAAAAACCCAATTTTTTGCCATTGCCGCATCCGCACTTATAGAGGTTTTTATCTGCGCATGGCCAGCTGATTATTTATTGCGCATGGTAAGGCATACCAGCCATATAAAACATAAGAAAAGGCATAAAAAGAGTTTATATTAAAATAGCAATTAAAAATCAAAATTGTAATAAATTAAAAATAAAAATATAAAATATGTAT